TCAACCTTCTGTTTTCTCATCTGTAATATGGGGTTCATCATTATAGCACCTGCCTCGTGGGGTTGTTAGGAGGTTGAAGAGAGTTAGACTAATGCCTGGCATATAGTGTTTGATATTTTTACTGTTACCCTCCAGTGTCCTTCTCATTAGTGTTAGCTCCTCATTTAGAAAGGCAGGGGTATTAAAGAACAATGGTGTCGTAGGGTTTCTTTGAAGATCAAAGGAGCTAACCTGAGTTTATAAAGCTCGAAGCACTAGGTTTGCCGCCTGGATGGAGCGCTCAAAAACGCTTCTCCAGCCTGAGGGGCCGGGGAGTCCTGCTGCTCTTGTATTCATGGGTCCAGCCAGGGCCTGACCCGCTCAGGGGTTGAAACTGGCTTGAATGAAAGTCCAGCGCATGAAGGAAGCGGCCTGCCTGGGGCTGGTGAGGGGCGGGCTCCAACATCTAAAGTGAGGGGCGGGGAGGCTCGCTGATAAACTCTGGGGAGGAGCTAAGCCGTGAGCACAGGGGTGTGCAGGAACAGGGGGTTCTCAGCTCGTGCGTGTCCCTTTTCAGGCGCTCGCCCTGAACCTGAGCCTCGGCCTCCAGCCACCACCGCCTCTGTACCTCAGCCCACCGCACCTCCCACGGTCTGCCCCACCGCCCCTCCCACCGCCCGCCCCTCCGAGCGCCCCACGACAGGCCCCACAGGCCCCCCTGCAGCTGGCCCCACGGGCCCCCCCACTGCAGGGCCTTCTGCGGCCCCTACAGCGTCTTTGGATCCAGAGGACAATGTCTGCAACGTGGACATCTTCGACGCCATCGCGGAGATTGGGAATCGCCTGCATGTCTTTAAGGATGGGTGAGGGGCTGGGCTGTGGGGTTGAGGAAGGGGGCTTGGAGGAGGGAACCGCCCGCTCCGCCCCACCCAGCGGCCTGCAAGGGTCAGTGCCTGCGGTTCCCTTTGCATGTTCTCAGGAGGTACTGGCGACTCCCTGAGGGCAGCGGACGCCAGGTGCAGGGCCCCTTCCTTATCAGAAGCACATGGCCTGCGCTCCCTGCCAAGCTGGACTCGGCTTTCGAGGATCCGCTCACCAGGAGGATTTACTTCTTCTCTGGTTAGTTTCCTCGCAGCTCCGTCTCCCATTCAGAGAGTAACTCAAGCCGTCGAGGGCGGGTGGAAGGGACCCTCCTTCCAGGAGCCTGTGGGGCCCCTCCCTGCCCTTAGACCGACGCGACCCTTCTCCCCTGCAGGACGCCAAGTGTGGACGTACACGGGCGCGTCGGTGCTGGGTCCGAGGCGTCTGGACAAGCTGGGCCTGGGCCCGCAGGTGGCGGGGGTGACCGGGGCCCTCCCGCGCGGGGGGAGCAAGGTGCTGCTGTTCAGCGGGCAGAGCTTCTGGAGGTGAGGGCCGCGCGCCGCCGCCAGGGGGGGCCCGCGCTCCACCCGCCCGCCCGCGGCTCAGCCGGCTCCTCGCCGCCCTCCCGCAGGTTCGACGTGAAGTCGCAGCTGGTGGATTCCAGCAAAGGCACCCCGGTGGACCGTATGTTCCCAGGGGTGCCCCTGCACACGCATGACGTCTTCCAGTACCGAGGTAAGGGCCGCAGCCCGCTGCCAGAGGACCGCGCCGTGCCAGGCTCCCCTGCCTGGCATGTGAGGCTGGTCAGGTCCTGAGCCAGAAAGAAAAAAGCCCTGGACATTGAGGCAAATGCCCCAGCACAGATAAGTTCCCTGGAGAGGCAGGGGCGTCCCCAGGTCAGACGAGGACACACGGGCCCCGCCAGAACTTGGGCTCTGATTTCCTGCCTTGGTCCTAAGAGCGTTTCCTCCTACAGAGCAGCACACATGGTTTGCAAGGAGGCCCAGGCCTTCATTAGACGCCGTCCAGTGCCAGGCACTGTGCGCTCACAAGGGGGAGTGATAAAGATGACAGTTCTTAGCTGTGTGTCCTTGGGGCAGTCGCTACTACTAGTGGAGCCTCAGTTTCCCTACCTGGAAAGCTGGAGTTATATTTGCTTTTGGCTGCTCACATCCAATCCGAAATAGTTGCTTTCCCCCCTCTTCTTGAAAACACCTTAATCTAAGCCACAGAGTTTGCCCAACGCCTTTTAACATACCCCCTAGGAGTACAGAGGCATCAGGAGTGGAGGGCAAAGGACTTGGGGGTGACCCCAGACGCACTCCAAGGTCAAAGAAAGTAGAACTGGGCGAGGTCCCTGCACATCCCCTCCCACAGCCCAGTCACAGGCCAGCTCTGCTCCGCTCACACCACCTTCAGCCGCTCTTTGAGCACATCAAGGTCATTGCTAGCTTAAGGCCTTTGTGCCAGTTGTGGCCTGGGCCTGAAAGATCGCCCCGCCTCCCAGCTGTCACCAGGCTGCCACCTTCTCAGCCTTGAAGCCTAAGAGAACACGAAGAACACCAAGAGACCTTTACAAAGAGGCCTTCTCTGACCCTCATCATCTATTCACATACTTGCTTTTCTTTCCTTCATAGCTCTTGACATTGTCAAAATGAATCTCATTTGTTTGCACATTTCCTGGCTAATTGTCTTGCCCCACTGCTGTGTAAGCACCCCGAGAACCAAGAACATGAGCTTTTCTCCGCTATATCTGCAGTGCCTTCAACAGTGTTTGTTATGATAGATATTTTTTGAATGAATGAATGGATTTGTTGAATGAATGAATGAATGAATGTGGACGGAACCTTTCTGTACCTCCCGTGTGCCAGGCTCTGTGCCAGTGTTTTGGATATTGAGGCCTGTGCCCTCCAGCATCTCTGCGGGAGGATGGAGGTGTCTTGTTAAAACCTTGGAAAGACCTAGAAAGGGCAGGAGGCATGGTTGTCAAGACCTTGCTCCTGTTTCTGTGTGTGTGGGGGGAGGGATGGAGTCACCTCTCTTCTCCCTGCCTCTCCCCTGCAGAGAAAGCTTACTTCTGCCAGGACCGCTTCTTCTGGCGTGTGAGTTCCCGACAGGAGGTGAACCAGGTGGACAAAGTGGGATACGTGTCCTTCGACATCCTGCACTGCCCCGAGGAATAGGGCTGCCCATCCTGTTTCGGCACTGCGGTGTGGGTCCCCTGGGAACCACCCTAGTGGGGAAGGAGCCAGTTTGCTGGATCCGAACTGGTGGGTCTGTTCTGGGGCGAGGAGGAGGGGAGGTGGGCTGGGCCCTCTGTTCCCACCTTCCTTTTTTGTTGGAATGTTTTTAATAAACACTGGATTCTTTAGCCTTTTGGAGCAAATTAATGTATGGATGCTTGCTTGCATGTGTGTACATATTTAGTCAATAGAGCGCTTTCTGTGCTGCAGGGAGTGTTCTGAGCACTTTGTAAATATTAACATTGACTTCTTCCTACTAAGAAGGCATAATGTGGTTATTCCTATTTTACAGCTTAGGTAATGGCCCACCTATTATTCATTCATCAAACATTCATTGGACTCCTCCATGGAGCCTGACTCTGTGCTAGGCTCTGGGGGTAGAGTGATGAGTTGGGCTCTGTTCTCAAGGATCTCAGTGGTCCTCAAATTTTAAGGTGCCTCAGAGTGTCCTCAGAACTTGCTTACAATGCAGATTCCAGGCTCTATCCCCAGAGACCTCAACTTTGTTACAAGATGGTTCTGTGATTGCTGGAGGTGGGATCACACTTGGAGAGATGTGTGTGTATGTGTGATCCTTACTTAGAGAGAGAGAGAGTGTGTGTGTGTGTCTGTGTGTGATTCTGTATGTTGTAGTCGAATGTGGGAATGTTTTCCAGTCAAGATGACATCTGAACTTGAATTGAATCTGGAAGGATGAGTAAGAGTTTCTTCTTGGGCCAGTTGGGCTGCCTTCTTAGATGGTAATTTGCCAAGAATCATTACACTTAAAAATGTACCTATTATCTAACTCTCACAACATGTGTCAACACGAAAGGATGCTGATCACTGAATTGTTCTTGTAGTGAGAAACTGGCAATGACTAAGTGCCCAGGAGTAAGGTGGCAGATCAATAAAATATGGATTATATGCTAATGCTAATAGTACTACCCCTGCCGTGGCACTGATGGTGGGCCAGGCACTGCTCCATGTGGTCGATGTACGCTATCTCAGGTAAGCCTTAAACAACCCGAGGCAGGAACGTCTCTGCCACTGTTACTATTGGGGTCCTCCCGCCCCCAGTTTTACCAGTGAGGAAACTGAAGAGCAGAGAGTGACACAGCTCCCTTGCAGTCTCCTAGTTAGCGAGTGGGATTTGAATGTGGGCTTTTGGGGCAAGCGCTGGAAGAAGAGAGAAAATCAGAGGGTGTACGGGGAACAGCAAATGGCTGGATCTCTAGAGTGTGATTTTAACAGGTGGACAAGGTGGGGAACAGAGAGGATTCTGGAATGTTTGAGACAGCCATGGTGGCTTGGCCAGATAAAAGCATGAATTCAACCTCACTGAATAGCAGATGGGCTTGACCGACAGGTGGAGGCAGCAGAGTGGGGCGATGGGCTTGGTCAAATTTGATGATTTTTCTGGATCTGGGGTCCACGTGGGAGCTTAAGGTGGTGTTTAGAGAACTACCTCCTGAGCTTCTCTGGGTGGGAACCCCTTTTCTAGTTACCCATTTCTGACTCAGGAATGACCCAGTCCCACCCAAACATTCCTTGATATGGCTTACTTAAAATCCCTCTGGATCCTTCTCCCTCTAGATACTGTTCCATGCCTCTACCTCTTGCCCCCATCCATAAAGAAACTTCCCTCCTGTACAGTCTCCAGTGACTGTCTCCACTTCGCAGCCATTTCCAGCCCGGCCCCCACCTCCCTACACATGGAAATGGCCTCCGGTGGCCAGATGCATTTGGGGAGTTTTACTCCTCTGTGCTCATCCTACCCCTCTCGCAGCTTCTCTGACGTGGCTGATTATGCCCTTCTTCCTGAAATTTTTCTCCACTTGGTCTCCGGGTCCTGGTTCTCCTCCCACCTCACTGGCTGCAGCTTCCTCACTCCAACCTTTAAATGATAGCTTGCCCTTGGACTCAACCCTTGGACCTCTCTGCTCTGTGTAAACATTCCCTGTGCTCTGTTTGGCCCTCCAGCTTTAAATAGCACCTCTCTGCTAAAGACTCTGAAATTTATATCTCCAGCCTTAACCTCTCCCCTGAGCTCCCGACTCCTACATTCAACTGCCAACTCTGCTGGCCCCTCGGTGCCTAATAGGCATCTCAACTTACAGGTGCAAGCGAAATCTTGAGCTCCACCTTCCAAACATGCTCTTCCATTAGCCATCACTACCTTAATAAAAGACATCCTCTGGGCCTCCCCGGTGGCGCAGCAGGTTGAGTGCAGCACTGTGAAGCTGTGAGACCTCACCCAGAGGACAAGGGGAAGTCACTGAAAAGTTTCAGGTAAAGAAAGATGATGAGGGGCCTCCCTGGTGGTGCAAGGGGTTAAGCACCGCACTGTGAAGCAATCCGCAGCCTCTGCAGCAAAGAGTTCGATTCCCGGCCAGCCAGGGAGCAACCTACATGGCGCGGCAGACCTCTCCTGTCATGCCCACTGCTTCCCTCAGCAGTGTTTTTGGTCCTTCTGCTTGTTCTGTTCCCTGCTCTGTCTCTGGTGAATCCTCTCACCCTCCCACATCTCTGGCCTGTACCCCAGTTCTTGTATAAAAAAAAAAAAAGATGTCCTCTGCCCTCGATCCAGCTTATAACCTGATCGGTCCTAAGATCTAGGAATCAGTTAAACTTCTTATTCTGCTACAGGATTTCTCAACATTGGCACGCTTGACATTCCAACCAGATAATTCTTTGTTGTGGGTCATATCCTGTACCTTGGAGGATGTCCTCTTCCAGGAAGTAGCAGGATCCATGTACCTACAGATGCCAGAGTCATTTGGCATCAGTCCTGCTCCCCACCCCCTGGCCCCGTCATAAAGAGGGGGAAGTGGCGTGCAGGGAGGTGATGTGGAATCTGTGGTATACAGTCAGGCAGCCATGGTGCAAGCCTAGATGGCACAGTGGCCTCTACCCATTAGATGCCAGTATGATACCCCTCCAGCTGTGACCACACACAATGTCTCCTAATACTGCCAGGTTATGGGCAACACTACCGAATTCCCAGCAGTTATTACCTTAGAGAACCATTGCTCTAATGTAATACGCAGATAGCAAGTCAATCTGTCCTAAGCACACATTCCAGTAAAATTTTGTAAGCTGAACACAACCGCAAACCAGCATCCAACTCAAGATAAAAACATACCAACATCCTAGATGTCCCCCTGCATTCACTACCCTTTCATCTGAAGTAAAGTAAGAGTAACCACCGTTACTTCTGATAGCCTAGGCAGATTCCAATGTTTACTTTATTCAAGTACTATTTTATGATACATATTTCTAGTGTCTGGCTTCTTTTTGCTCAATATTGTCTTTATGAGATTCATCCGTGTTGTTTGTGAGCTACAGATTGTTCATTCTCACTTCTGGCTGTATCCCATACTATGAATGTGCCATTTATTTATCCACTTTACTGTTGATGGACATTTGCAATTTGAGGCTATTATGAATAATGCTACATGAACACTCCTGTCAATGTATTTTGGTGAATATGGCCAGCGACTTCTTTTTAATTACTTAATTAATTTTTATTATATATGTATTTTACACCATGCTTCCATTTTGTGCAACGTATGCTTTCTCCTCTCAGCTGTAGCCCCTGTAAAATTTGCCCAGTTCACCCGTGCACCATCACCATAGTCCCTTGTGCTCCTCCCTCCCCTGTTTTGATCCCTCTCTTTCCTGGCAGCCACTTCTTCTGGGCATAAACCTGGCATTGGAATTGGGGTAGGTGGATGTGCACTTTTAGTGGATGTGACAGAACAGTTTCCCAAAGTGGTTTGACCCACCTATACTCCCACCAGCAGTGTATGAGAGTTTCCAGGAGTCCTTCTTGACTCCTCTTTCCATTGTATGAATATCTAACCCAGTAGCAGGCCCTGTCGGCTCTACTTCCAAAGTGTCCCCACGATCAGATGACCCAGTTGGGCTATCATCAACTCTCATACAGTGGCTGGTGGGGAGGGGTAGAGGCAGAAGCCTCTGAATTACATTCCCAGCTTCTAGTCCTGCTCTTCTTTAGTTGACTCTTCACTCAGCAGGAAGAGTGATCTCTTTTTTTTAAAGATATTATTTATTTATTTTTGCATAGAAGAACTGGGGTGTAGGCCAGATGTGCGGGGAGGGTGAGAGGATTCACCAGAGACAGAGTGGGGAGTAGAACAGGCAGATCAACTGAAATACATTGCTAAGGGGAGGAGCAGGCAAAATAGGAGAGATCTGTGCCATGTAGGTCAGCTCCCTAGCCAGGGATTGAACTTAGGCCACAAGGTGATAACGCTGAGACTTGAGACTTAACCCCTAGGCCACCAGGGAGGCCCAGAGTGATCTTGTTAAAACCTAAATCGGGGGCCTCCCTCGTGGCACAACTGGTTGAGTGCCATACTGTGAAGCTGTCCACAGCCTCTGCAGTGTGGGTCCTATCCCGGCTGGCTGGAGAGAACCCCACATGATGTGGCAAGACGGAGACGTCTTGCCCGCTGCTCCCCTCAGCAGTGTATTTCAGTCAGTCTGCCTGTTCTGTTCCCCGCTTTGTCTCTGGTGAATCCTCTCACCCTCCCGCGCATCTGGCCTGTACCCCAGTTCTTGTATAAATAAATAAAATCTTAAAAAAAAACCTAAATCGGGTCGCATGATTCCCCTACTCGAAAACTGCCCAATGGCTTGCCTTGTGGATTAGAAAAGAATCCAGCCTCCTCCCTGAAGCATTCAAGAGTCCATATGCTCTGTTCTCCGCGCCTCCCTCATGTCTCATCACTCACTCCACTCCCTCTTCCAGGCACAGTGGCCTTGTTGCTGCCTCTGAACAGTCCAGGCTCCTGTTCACCCCTGGGCCTTTGCACTTGCCAGCTTTTCTTCCAGAGAACCCTTCCTGCAGAACTCTGCACATCTGGCTCCTTCTCATCAGCGAGGTCTCCGCTCAAATACCACATCTTCTCAGACTTAGGCTTCCTTAGACTCCCCGCTGAAGGAGTCCTTCCCCTAGTATTATGCTTTGGCGCAATTTTTTCTTAATATAGACCACAATCTCAGCTCATCTTGTCTATGCCTTTGCTTACACACAAGGCTTCCCTCCTCACTAATCATGCGTGTAAGTCACACGAGGACAGTCCATCTCCTTCAAGGCTGCATCTCCAGCGCCTACCACTACTG